TAATATACTATATTATAATTTTTTATTATATATTATATTATATTGCATATTATAAGATATAACAACTATATAATATATTGTTAATTATATTAAAATATTGAAGGGTAATTATGGAAAAAAATGAAGAAAAGAGCTTGGAATTGCTATTCCTCACATGTGATGAAGGAATGATGATTCAATCAAAATGGGTGAATTGCTATTCCTTTTGAATGACCATTCATTTCTTATAAATCCAACCAAACATCATACTTGGACTCCATTCCATTCTCTTCCTTTCCTTCCCACCCAACTAAACGCACCCTAATGGTTAAAAAAGTTGGAGATGACTGATTTAACTCACTTGAACATGTTTGGGGTATTCTCACTTGTTAGATTCTAACAAATGTCCATTTGTGTTTTGTTATCTTCGACCCTAGTGTAAGTTTGATGCATGTATGTGTAGAAAAAACAAACTGTTTTTAGGAAAGAATCCGTGTATAGTTGTAACTGTACCATTAGCTAGGTGTCAAATCTGTATATTTAGAAAATTATTGTTAGCAGTTATTTACTTCCTAGAATTAGTGATATTATTTCCTTTTTTACTTAGGCTGTAATTGTATAAAGGTCTACTCAATGAATAAAATTATGCATTATTCTTTTTCGAGTTGGTATCAAAGCCTTCTTTTTCCTCCTCTCTCTCATTCTTTGCTACCCTTAATTCACCATGTCTGATATGTCGACTGAGTCTGAGTCCACTACCATTCCAAAAACTTATGACTCTCAAAAACCCGATCCTATCAAGACCAGCATAGACGCCCACTCTGTTCAGATTACAACCATTCGGTTGAATGGTGATAATTTCCTGCGATGGTCACAAGCTATTCGGATGTATATCAGAGAACGTGGAATGATGGGATATCTGACAGGTGAAAAAATGGCTCCACCAGAGACGGATCCAGCCTATGCTACATGGGATGCTCAAAATTCCGTGGTTATGACGTGGCTCGTGAATTCTATGGAAGAGGATAGTAGCTCTAACTATATGTGCTATTCAACAGCAAAAGAGCTGTGGGAAAACGTGAACCATATGTACTCAGATATGGGGAATCAGTCACAGATATTTGAATTGACTCTAAAAATTGGCGAGATGCGGCAAGGAGAGGACAGTATTACCAAATACTTCAATTCGTTGAAGCGTATCTGGCAGGACCTGGATCTCTTCAACACTTACGAGTGTAAATCACCCGAAAATGCAGGTCACCACAAGAAGGTCTTGGAAGATGGCCGTATCTTCAAGTTCTTGGCAGCACTTAATGTTGAGTTTGATGAAGTCAGGGGGAGAATCGTTGGGAGGCAGCCTCTCCCTTCGATTGGTGAAGTATATGCCGAAGTAAGGAGAGAAGAAAGCAGGAGGTTAACCTTTTGGATCAAGTTGGGCTCCTGAAGTGTGTTGGGTTAGTTTCGCATGTGGTGTCTCCCCAACAAGTGGTATCTTTCTCATGCTTGAGTTGGCTCTCGTTTGGCGTGTGATGCTTGGATGTGCCAGCTACTTGAAACTTTAATTCGAGGAGGAATGTTATTGTTGATACCAGAATTTCTCACACACCGATGGCCCACCAGCGAAGTATTGTCCCCACTTGGGCCCGCCGTGACGGGTGGGGTTTTGTCCCTTCGTAAAAGGCGCCTCGCTGGTAGGAGGGGTTGGCACTCTAGTACATATACCTCTCCAGACCCCCGTCTCCAACCGATGTGGGACTCTTGGCATACAACAGTGCCCCCCGAGACGGGGGGACTGGGGAGGCAGGCCGTGGCCAAACGTCCCCAGTGGAGTCGCCAACTGTTGATACTAGAATTTCTCACATACCGATGGCCCACCGGCGAAGTATTGTCCCCACTTGGGCCCGCCGTGACGGGTGGGGGTTTGTCCCTCTCCTGGCCCCACCAACCACTGAGGTATTGTCTCCACTTATGCCCAATGGATGGGGGAGTTTTGTCTCCCTTGAGAGCGCCTCGGTGGTTGGTGGGGCCAAGAGAGGGACAAAGTCCCGAAGGGCCGACCCCTCCATCTAGCGAGGCGCTCTCAAGGGAGACAAAACTCCCCCATCCATTGGGCATAAGTGGAGACAATACCTCGGTGGTTGGTGGGGCCAGGAGAGGGACAAAGTCCCGAAGTGCCGACCCCTCCATCCAGCGAGGCGCCTTTTACGAAGGGACAAAACCCCACCCGTCACGGCGGGCCTAAGTGGGGACAATACTTCGCCGGTGGGCCATCGGTGTGTGAGAAATTCTGGTATCAACAGTTATGTTGGGCAAGAAAGGACCTAGGACTGCTGCAGAGGTCTCGGCTTTGGTGACCACTGGAGCAACATCGTCCAAAACTCCTGAGTACCAGCGCATACCTGGTGAGAAACCACGTGTGTGGTGTGACTACAGCGACAAACCGCGCCACACTCGCGAAAATTGCTGGAGGCTACATGGGAAACTTGTGAACTGGAAGAGCAAGGCAGGAGAGAAAACTAGACGCTTCCCCACTGCTCATGAGGAGCCCCTTCACCAGAGAGCAAATGGAGCATCTTCTTACACTGCTGAAATCTGGTTCGTCGTCATCTGATCCTCCTAATGCTTCTGTGGCACACATAGGTAATAAATCAAAAGCTTTATCTTGCTGCGTTAATTCTTCTACTCCATGGATAATAGATTTAGGAGCTTTCGACCATATGACTAATTCATTCAAATTATTTCAATCCTATACACCATATCCTGGAAACAAAAAAATTAAGATTGCAAATGGCAATTTCCCCCCTATAGCAGGCAAAGGCCTGATACAAATCTCAGAAAAAATAAACCTAAAATCTGTCCTCCATGTCCCCAAACTTGCTTGCAACCTTTTGTCTGTTAGCAAACTTTCCAAAGACTCTA